TCTCGGTTGTAGTAAGCCGGGTTGGCTGGGCATTGACGGCCTACGTCAGATCGGTCGCACCGCCCCGCCGCCGCCGCCCTACTCAATGAAATGGCCATGAGGGTGCTCTTTATTTTCTGTTAAAGTGGTTGGTTTCTTATTACTCCTAAGGTTTTACGATCTTTTTAAACGGTTAAATGCTTCTATGAAATGTGAATGCACCTAGTGGTTTACACAATTTAAATAAATCAAGCGAAATCAAACAAAACAGTTTCAAATCCTTAGGTTATTATTACTATCATTGTCAGTATTAATTTTTTTTTTAATACTTATTTAATATATATACTCATTACCTATTTAATACTTGGGTAGAAAGTATCATGTGCTTGCAATTTCATGTAACATTATTGTGATTGGTATGCTAGTAATAAAAATGGGGTTCTGAAAATCTCTGGTTATTACTTCTACAGGCAATATACATATAATTTTTGAAGTATTAAAAATTGCGTTCACAATTATTTCAAAGTCAAAGTCAAATAATCATTTATTCCATAGGTAATAAAATAAGTAAATGTTCCATAGGAAATTTATTCCATAGGTCATTTATTCCATAGGTAACTGCCTCCGTGGCCGAACGGTTACCATGCCGGACTGCCACGCAGAGGTCCCAGGTTCGATTCCCGGGTCGGGAGAAATATTTGTATGGCCTACATTTATTTCTCTCGTGAGTTTGGGTGTTATTTGTGGTTGTCTATGTGTGTCCATGGCACCCGCGACACAGGGTTTCCCTAGTGCGGGGCCATGTCGCGTGTGTGCGTTATTATTATTATTATTATTATACTTTTAATGTAAGTTTTAAACTTAGGAAATGAAAATCTTAATAATTATATTCTCCGGAATCTTATTGTAATTTATTATTATTCTTATTGTAACATTGTATAGAGTGCAGTTCCCCATAAAATATTATTCCCCATAAATTGACGAATAAGTTAAAATGCATGCATATACAAAATAAAAATTCTTTATTGCGCAACACAGTATTACAGTACAATTGTGTGCAAATCCGCATTACAGCAAATTGGACAGCATATTAGTATACGCAAATTATACGTATGTGTATGTATAGGTGAATAATATACACATTTTTGATATTAAAAAGGAAAAATTTAATACTTAGGGCGCACTATAAGTTTCCGGAACTGACCACTTACATTAACAATATTTAAAAAGTAATTACAACATTTGAAAATAGAACTCTTTGGCTGTAGAATAAGTTTGTTTCATCTGACTGTCACTTGTTTTTACATTGTGGCGTCATTTTAGAAATTAATTGTCTACATCACCATGGATGTAACTCGTGAAAATTTTCGTAGTATGATTTTCTACGACTTTATGTGTAATTTAACAGCTCAGCGGAGCTTCGCTCGGCTTCAAACTGCTTTTGGCGATGAAGCACCATGCAAGACGACTATTTATAGCTGGTTTGCAGCATTCAAACGCGGCCGTGTGAATCTCAGTGACGAATTTCATGATGATCGCCCGTCCACTGCTGTGAACAACAAAAACATCGATGCTGTGCGCTGTATCATCAATAAAGACGGGCATGTGACATACCATGAGATTCGGGCATCTTTAGGCATAGGCATGAGTCAAATACAATCAATACCATACAAACATTTGGGTGTGAAAAAGCTGTGCTCTCGGTGGATCCCACACAATTTGACTAAGGCTCAAAAAATGGATCGCGTCACTTGGGACACTGCCATGCTTACCAGATTCAACGAAGGGGCGTCAAATTTGGTGTGGGACATAGGAACAGGTGACGAAATATGGATTTATAGTTCCGATCCCAAAACAACATAGCATTCGAGCGTATGGGTCTTTCGAGATGAGCCGAAACCAACCAAAGTGGCGCGCGTGCAAGGTGCCCCTAAGCGGATGATTGCTTCTTTTTGTAATAAAACTGGACACGTGGCTACTGTTGCTTTGGAGAATCGTTGCACCCTGAATAGTGATTGGTACACGACCATTTGTTTGCCGGAAGTTATTGACAAACTCCGTAAAAATAACCGTAAACGCCGTATCTTGCACCACGATAGTGCCAGTTCTCACACGGCCAGACAGACAAATGAATCTTTCAAGGTGAACAACGTTCACCTTATGAGCCATCCCGCATACAGTCCCGACTTGGCATTTGTGACTTTTATTTATTTCAAAAAATTAAGAACCAGTTACGCGGTCAACGATTTTCATCACCTAAAGAGGCTCTAAAGAGTATGAAAAATATGTTTCAAAGATTGTCACGGAGGAGTGCCATAAATGTTTTCAAAACTGGTTCATTCGCCGAAGGTAGTCTTCGAACCGAAATCGGTGACCACCATACAAACGGCCTTCTACGGAATAACGCGTACTCGGCACTAAAAATTAAAATCCTACTGACGATGCCCATATACGTAATATTGCGTACTACCACCACCACCACCACCACCACGGCACTACGTATAAAATTTGTTTTAAGAGGCCAATCATTGCGTATACGCAAAAAACGTACGGACGGCGCCTCGAGTAGCAAAAGCTAGTTAGCTATCTTGCTTTCTCCTGGATTCAACAAAGACGTCCCTCGCGCTCCCCCTTTCGCCAAATATGCAGCTACTTTTTGACTATTGTCATTGTTGCGTCACATGCGCAATGACATTAATGTAATTAGTGTGATTTATCGCCATGCCGCGCGGATGGGAATCGAGTCGTCGTATTTTACAAAGTCGTCGTACTTCTACACCGTTACGACCGCAAAATCAAAGCGAAGTTGTCAGGATTCTGTATGAAGACGATTCGTCAGACGATGGGGACTGGACGGGATGCTACCCGAAACTTTACGGCTTCCCCATCGATCGCCAGCAGTTTGTGCTAGACGTATGAAACCTAACCCCCTGAGTACTCGTATCCCACTAGAAAATTTTCAGTATCTAGAAAAATGCTGCTAAAAAGACAGTTCTATTTAAACCTTGCCTTGTTTCCACCAAAAATAAGACACGAAAGGAGTCAATTTTTGTGTGTGCTATTTGCCCAGAGAAGCTTGCCTTATGTGTGGTAAATTGTTTCAAAATTTATCACACCCATCCCCATATTGCATAATTTTGAATGACGGAAGAAGTTACTTCATTTAATTTTTGTACAAAATTATTAGAGTTGCTTGTTATAAAAGTGAACGTTTATGCTGAAAGTAATTAATAAACTGCAAATGATCTCATTACTAAAGTAAGTATTTGTCTCAAAGTGCCTTTGATTTTTGTAATTTTTAAGTATTTAGAAATAATAAACCTACTACATTTTTATTTCGTGTTTTATTTCAGGCGCCATAGTATACTAAACCGCACAGTCCTGTACGCCAAATGGCATAGATTTCTTTTAAATTGTCAGGGAAGTAGTACATATTAATGCGTGGTCGGCCTCTGCTATGGATGCTAGCTACGTATTAATGTGTAGCTGGCAGTCAATGGGTTAAAAGTTGGTATTAAATTAGTTTTGGACACTGATGTGCTGATACCAGTATTCCATTTTGACATGAATTGTTTTGCTCTCAGTTTAAGGAATTCAAAAAATATTTCTCATATGGCTACAATCCAAAGCTAGGTTGACAACCTTTTGGTTATTCTTAGAGAAACACTAAAATTCTAAATCATGTTAAGAATATTATTCTATGACATCAATGATTAGACCATTATTAAAGGTAATCAGTGACAATTCTTAGAGTCGTATTCCAGAACTCTACTCAATGCTCAAGTCAGGATTCCACTGGAAACACAAGCATTGGAAATACGACCCTAATGGCAGGGACTTGAGTATGATTTCGAGTGCTTTAAACCATACTCAAATCCTGACTTGAGCATTGAGTAGAGTTCTAGAATACGACCCTGAGAGCCTCGTCTCCTCTAGTAAAAAACATATAAGAATCTGATATTTCTGTTGCAAAATTAGTAAAAACATACAGCTTGTCTTTAAAATTGGTATAAGAAATACAACAAAAGGTGGGTCCTGATTGTTCAAATGAGTAAACAAAACAAAATGAAAGGTATTACAAAAACTTCAAGCCTGATCGCGACGCCATGTCATTACTTTATTCTTATTTCATAATAAAATATTATATAGTACTGTAATATAAGATAAGAAAAAAATAATATGCATCAAAAGTCTTGTCCTAGATGTATAGCATGCATCAAGGACATGCATTTCCATGAGGTGTATATTCCTCAAATGCAATAAATGGTTATGGTCATAGTTACAGATTAAGATGTGACAGAAGGGAAGAGAAAAATTACGTAGACCTATATTCGCTGACAAAAATAAATTTTATGTATGTCTACCTTCCAAACGCAATACATTCACGAATAAAGGGACAACTGGATATTGGCGACTATAACCATATTTTTTATAATATTTTTACAATATATTTATTATAATAATTACTAGAAATCATAAAAGGGTGGTACCCAATAAGCAACAAGCAGAATACTAGTCACAGAATTCTCCTCAAAATGTCTTTGTTACAGAAGTTGTAAATGTTCTGTGGAAATTAGCTTTCAAATTTAAATTGGTTACATCAATATTAAAAATTAAATTCATAATTTTATTTCGACTTCATAAAGTAATTAAGTATTCTTTGTTGTTATCACTGTTTTATGGCATAAACCAAATATGCAGGTTTATTTATTTTTATCATTTTTCCAATTTAACGCGAAAATACAAAATTATGTCAATAATAAAATTTATCAACCACTATTGGTGATGCCTTCCAGACAGAAACTATAGAATGTAAGCAGATTCTTTTAATCCACTTTTACAATACCTTTTACACTCTTTAATGGTGTAATATAAAGTAGATAACGTTTACACCATTTTTTATAAACAAGTTTGTTGCCTTCTGTACAACTTCAATATGCGTCAAAGTTGACTCCACCTTAACTCGGTAGATATAATCAGTTTTTTGTACTGTGTTGTCTTAGGAAAAATAAATTGCTCACCTGGATCTCAAGAAGCAATTCTGTTTTACGACGACGGATATCTATTAAAACCTTCTGTTGCTCCTGTGTCAGCTCTGAAACGAACAGAGCAGTATTCATATAAATATAGTGGATAATAAAACCAAGCCATTGAGGTCATGTTATAATTGGAAAACAACTGGCTCTACGTCTACAAAAATAAAGTCATCAATTACCGGTGTGAGAAAATGGATCCCCATGATTACTGGCAGCATTGTTTCCTCCAAGGGACAAGTTTTCAAATTCACTTATCATTTCTTTCTAAACAATTTTGAGTATTAGACAATAATAAACAAAAGTTTACATCGTTACAAATAACTGACTGGCGGCCATATTTATTTACTATTGCTTGCCTGACTCAATGACAACGAAAGCTAATGCAACACAATGTTTTGATTGGCTGGTTTGAAATGTCAAAAATATTTGCCAATCTCTAAGCAGAAGTTTAAATGTTGGCAGCCTTGACATTAGTGTCGCTCCGGTTTCATTTATATCGATTTCAAATGTTCTAATGTGTAATGCAACCGAGCAGAATTAAATATCTTTTCACAGAGCTAAACAAATAAACTGCGCGTCGTTTCTACTTAAAGTTTTTCTGTAAGATACCTATTAATTTTAAGTTGATTTTAAAATCGTTAAAATGAGTGAGTGTGTAGCTGTGAATAGAGTTGCACACACTGGTTCATGAGAATCAGTCATCATATCATATCACCTGACTGACAGAAAGCAAGCAGATTCCAAACAGATTTATTCATTATAAATTAAAACATTCATTTCGCTCTATCTTCCATCCATTCATTTTCATAGTATTGAATTGCTTCATCGATGAATTTGTTTGAAAAAAATTGGACTGATATTGCCGTCGTCGCCGTCGTGGAAGAATCGTGACTTGGAGATCTAAAGCTAGTAACTGTGACCAAACTATACTATAATCCCAGCGCAAAAGATCATATTGAGCTCGTTGCAAACTAGGCAAACAAGATATCTTTATACCGGAGTGCTAGAACACGCCCCGAGGTTCCAGTTTCTCTTGTTTTACAATCTGTAACTTCAGCAAGAATACGACGAATACCTTTTCTATGTAAAACGACTGATTTCATTGTATAATGTGTTTTTAAACAGTCGTTGGAAAAGAGGACTTCGCTTTTCGTCGAACACCGGTGTTTGTTTGCTGCCGAAATGAACGACAATGGATGCATACATTTGAACAATTTTAAGGCTGCGAAGGGCACGAATCCTTATAAAATAGTCCATGCATTTTTTGTTTCATGCACGTCTTATGAAGCCAGGCGATACAAGGTAAATTATGGCAAAATTTCACTTTTCTTTACCCAATTGACTTTTCGGAGACGCAACACTTATGGGGCGCATCACAATATCGCGTAATTTATTTTTAAAGACTATTCACACTTAGTAACATGAGGTGACTGTATTTTAAACTGTTATAAACAAAATTGTATTATAGGGAGCCAGTTGTTATCTGTTATAAATAATCAGCTGACGGATCTTTGACCTCAAGACAGCTGTTTATGTGAGTCACGCAATTAGGCTACCTAAATGAGTTTAAAAATGTTTGTTACACTGTATACTATTTTTATAATATAGAACATCAGTAAATATCAACTAGTCTATCAAATTAATCAACATTTTTAAACCTCAGTTTTCTGTCAAACTTCATTGTAATAAATTGTTATGTGAAGAAGAAAACTATCAGATTTTCTTTGCTGTAGGAACTTCAATAATATACAAGTACAACATAGTTATGGTCATACAATTTGTTCTCAGGCAACATCATGCCTCTGTTTCGCATGTGCCCAGCCAGGGCCTCGAATGCACTCATGTCTCCACTGCATCTATTTTGGTTGCTACAGTGGTGGCCATATCCAAGATCATGCTAAGATTAAAAAGCACTTCCTCTCTGTTGACCTTGTCTATGGAAATGTATTCTGTGCTCAGTGCCAAGACTACATCTATGATCGAGAGCTTACTGAAATCGCACAAACCAATCGCTTGAAGCAGGCAAAGTAAGTACCACATAATTTTTGCAAGTTATCAAAGTTGTACCTTTATACAATGTTGCAGATTTCTGTTATTAGTATTTGATTTGTGCTTGTCTTGGAGAGATTGTTAGGTCCATTATCTAGCATTATATTAAAAGTTGTATCAGTTGATAGAATTTATTATCAATAGGCATTTAGTCTGTTCACACCAAGTTCAGACTGAAAATTATTTTTTTAGTTGTTTTGGAGCATAGAATACTAAACTTCATCAAAAGCAATTCTTCCACAATAAATTTGCACCACATCACACACTCACTTAGTCCAATTTGTCATTAACATCTCACCATCCATTTGGCTGGAGCAATTGGAACTTCCTACCTTAATCTTTAACATGACTACTTTACTGAAACAACGTAATATGCTAGGCTGTTTAATATAAAATACATAACACTCATTAATAATCTCTATTATATTTATCAACCTTAATTTTTTTTATTTTAAGTTATGATAATTTTTTTCTATTTTTGGAGCTGTTAATAGATTCAACATTTGTTGATTGCAATAGCCCTTAAGTAGATAGCTAGAGATTATTTTTACATATAGATCTCTTGGAATCAGCGTTCCATTCATGCCGTGGCTGCCGAACACTAATGAGGCGATGGCGCTGCGTCGTCTACGTAAGCGGCGACTCATCAGCCCACACACCACCATCGGCCTGCGCGGATTACAGAACCTTGGCTCCACCTGCTTCATGAACTGTATTGTCCAGGTAAACAAATAAATCTCTACATTTTATATTCTTATTACAACGCCTACATTTTAAAACACAACTTTATTAAGTTTTCTTTTGCAGAAAAAGACTCTTACTCCGAAGTAGTACATTCAAAGGGTAACCATCAGTCATTATTTAAAATTGCCGCATAAAGACATGCGCATTTAGTGCATTGCGTTTTTACTGCGCAGTTAGGAGTTATACTAATAAAAATTGTATTATCTTTGTTAAAGCATCATGGATAGTGAACCCTGCAAAAGGTCACTGAATTCTTCTACTGCTTCCGACTTTCGAACCACTAAATTTGTCTGCTTGATAACCCTTATGGGATGCAAGGTCGCTCGTTGAATTGGGCCTTCTCTTGTAATTAAATGAAGTAGGTGTTTAGGTATCAGTTATTCAATTTCGTTTGAATAGTAAGGGGTGAATTTCACTTTCCGAATTTCAATGGCACTTTTTGAGTGACTTTTGTAGAGCGATTTAGTCACTGGCGCTGAAATTGGTATTTAAGTCGATTTTTTGCTAAAAGGGAGATAGAGGTTACTTCACTGTGTACACTCCAATCCGACAGGAGCCTCTTCTCACGTACGCGAAGGGTGAAGGTGATGCGGTATGAACTTTTGTTATTAGGAGGCTTTTAGTTGAAGTGACACTAATGATAATAAAAATTGAAACACATTTTGTATTCCCAAGAAAACATGTTTGTTTATAATAAATTGGAAAGTTGCGGTATGTATTCGACGTGAAAGTTATTAGAGTTTATACTCGATAGGAAATATTGGGATTTCCACGAGTGTTTAATTTTTTTCTTCTTTTCTTAAAATTAGGGCGACGTGAAACCGACTCCCATGAATGAGAAATAGAACACTTTTTAAATTTTTGTTTATTACCTTGATGTAGTAAAGTAGTCTTTTTATGTGTAACACAGACTAAGTAAGCAAGCAATCATATTAATGCTTAGCATTCATGTAATAACATAAAAGTTATTGAAAGGGACACATTTTTGGAGGTTATCTGAAAACAAAGCTCTATGAAGTATGTAGCATTCAAGAAAAGAAAAAAATTGACGATTGCAAAGGCAGCTTTATTTCCCAAGTTGAATAATTAATCAATTTTATTCTCGAACAAACAACGAGTCAAAAACAAGTTTTTTCCCTGTGTGTTGTGCATGTTTCTCAATTTAGAACGTAATAACGAATTCAGGAAAATTCATTTTACCTTATATTTTTGTATTTTGTTTAATAGGTATGCGTTTTTATTTTTGTACTAAAAATATTTCTATATCAACGTAAGACAGAAAAAGAAAAGATAATATACTATTTTGTAACGTAAAGTTACAAAAATTGCTCAACCATTGAAACATTTTGCATTATGTTTTTAATTTCAGGCATTGATACACACACCCCTTTTAAGGGATTATTTCCTGGGCGAGCGACACAAATGCAAAGCGCAGGGGTCTGGGAAGTGCCTCGTTTGCGAAGTTTCCAAGCTTTTCCAGGTAAGACCTAATTAATGTCATAAAAAATTGGAGCTACGCAGTATAATAATTATATTGATTTTACGACAAGACGTCGTTCAACAGTGCGTATGACATTAATTATACTGTACTGTCACACTATAATATGACTTGTTTTATAGATAGACAATTTGTACTGTATAGGCCAATGAACGAAATAATCATTGACACACATATCATTTAGGCTTCGTTGAACTGTATTTGTTTAGGTACTTACATCTTTATTTTGAAATAAGGTATTGATTTTCGTAAAGATACTGGTTGTTGTATGTGTAACTCAATAACGATTTTCAGGGTGCGCGAGTTTATTTTGACTTATGTAACTTCAGGAGTTCTACTCTGGAGCAAAAACGCCTTTGACGCTGCACCGGCTCCTGCACCTGATTTGGACCCATGCGCGACATTTGGCCGGCTACGAGCAGCAGGACGCACACGAGTTCTTCATTGCTACTCTTGATGTTCTTCACAGGTTCGACATTTTCACACTGTTCATTTAAACAAAAAAATTAAAAATGGGTAGGCTAGCTTTGGATAGATTTGGGGTTGTTATTTCTTCCTGTTATTTTGAACAATCTGAAACAAGGGTTTGTTTGAAAAAACAAATTACGCGATTTAGATTCGAAAAAATAATTACTGTAACATATCGAGATTACAATTCGTTTGTGAAATTCCAGGCACTGCATGAACGGCGTCGAAGATACAGAGAAAAAAGAGAATGGACGTTGTAACTGCATCATTGATCAGATATTCACTGGCGGATTGCAAAGCGACGTCGTATGCACTTCGTGCTCTGGCGTCTCCACCACTATTGATCCATTCTGGGACATAAGCCTCGATGTCGCCGGGCCTGGCTCGTTACAAGCTTGCCTGGAGCGGTTCACTCGCGCCGAACATCTCGGCTCAGCCGCGAAAATCAAGTGCTCAAACTGCCGAGCTTACCGCGAGTCTACAAAGCAACTCACGCTAGAAACACTGCCGATCGTAGCCAGCTTCCATCTGAAACGATTCGAGCATTCGTCTCAAATTGATCGAAAAATATCGGCCTTCGTGTCTTTCCCGGCGGAGCTGGATATGACCCCGTATATGTCATCGCAGCGCCGAGCTGTAGATGTTGGAGCTGCTGATAACAACAATGCACCTGAAGGCATATTTGAAGATAACCGCTACTCGCTATTTGCTGTGGTGAACCATCTCGGCTCGTTGGACGCTGGACACTACACGGCCTATGTGAGGCAGATGAAAGGAAGTTGGTTCAAGTGCGACGACCACATGATAACTCGCGCTTCGCTGCGTGAAGTTTTAGATAGCGAAGGGTATGTATAAATTCTATGTATGTATAAAAGTTTAGTAATTTTTTATATAAAATTTAATATAAAAAAAATAAAATTGTAGAATTTGACTATAAACATTGACTTATTATAGTTGTAAGTCAATGACTATAAACAATAAAACAAAAGATGTTTAATTCATTTTTACCTTACTACAAAAGAAAAGTGCATGTGTCTGTCTGTGCGTGTGTGTTTATTATAAATGATAACTGTGTGCGTCTGGTTATATTCTAATTTTAATATTTCAATATTTATTCTTATAACTTGAATTACTTCTGCATCATTTCAGGTACCTGCTCTTCTATCACAAGACTGTTCTGGAGTACGAGTGTGACATTTCTTAAACATTTCTAATTCTCAAAAACATATTCGTACATTTAAATATCCTACGTTTGTGAGTCATATCCAGTCACAAGGTCTACTTTCATTTTAGTATACAAACACGACGTATACTTCTAAAAATAATTTAAGAAAAAAAAGTCATGGCTCTTGTGGTGATATTAGGAAGTAGTTTTAAAGAAATGAGGCCAGGGCAGTAGCCAGGATTTTATGATAGTGAGAGGAGAGATTGAATACTTCGAATGTTTCTTTTCATTTTTGTTAGTGTATTTTTGAGAGGGGATATAGTTTTGTTTCCTGGCTACATAGGCAAGTAATGTAATGATCATTTTGAATACCGATTTCCGCAGAATTATCCACGAATTTGTTAGAATTAAGCTTTAATGTAATATCGTAGATGTTTTTCGTAAAAACAAGTAATGACGTTTAAATGACTGAATAACTTATCTCCGCCGCAAGTAGCAAACGTGTTTCAATTTGTCAAGTGTGTTTATCTTACAAGATTTCTGTGTTACTGGTGGTTATATTGAATCGTGCCATTGCTGTTGCAATGCTTTAGATGTTCTCTGTTCTTGATGTTGAAAATAAGTGTAGTGCTAAATGAAATAGGATACTATAATATTGTTCATCGCCAAAAAATGTTGTGGTTAATTGATATTCAAACGATCCCTTAAAATACTGCAAGTGTAATTAATATTCTTGATTCAAAGTTAAATCAATTTGGTATATGTTAGTGTTAGAATGTTCCATAAGTATTGTTTTGTTTGAACAACACTTCTATCTACCTCACTGTTTTATCTCGTTTGCATTTCGCTTGGCTCACATGAAGTGTTCGAAATCCTGAATTATAATATTGCTTCGATTATTATACAATTACATTAAGACGAATACATCAGCCGCTTGTCAAGACCCCAATTTTTGTATTGTCCGGTTTAGAAATAATTATAAAGGTGGAAAGTTTTATCTAGTATTGTAAAAAACTCAAGTCCGGGAGTTTACATTTTAGGACTCGCATCCTTTCATTCATTAGGACCCATAAAGACAGCCTCCACTGCTCGATATATTATGAGCCTATCGAGTTCCGAATAGACTAGAGTCGACGTTAGTGCTAGAGTCTATTTATGTAACGAGTCGCTCTCGGGTTCGAGTCTGGTAATTACCTACTGAGTGGTGTTGTAGTGTTTTTTTTAAATCACCGAATTGGTTTTTTGTTTTTTATTTAGTTCGTGGGCAATAGCAGTTTTCAGTAAAATTGAACCCTGCTTGTCGCACTTGAGACATTGTAGAGTAGAAGCCGCTTCCAGTCGAGTTTTGTTCAAAACTTGAGTTAGGTTTACGACTCGAGTCAGTGCTAGACTCGACGTGAGTGTTTTAGACCACCGAGCCGTGCAAAATTGAGTAGAATTTATAAGTGTAGACTCCCGGACTCTAGGTTTTGACAATAGTTCTATCTAACGTTTAATGATTACGTTCACTCTTTCAGAAATTCTTGAAAATTATTCAAAACACAATTAATATTTTTACACACTCAAGTGTAGTTTCACTCATTGGAGTGTTTATTTCCACGTTTGGTGGTTTAAGTAGATTTTAAAATATAATGTGACTGACATTAGCTTAATGTGATATTTAATATTTATGACTTATATTAAAATGTAGTTAGTCGTATGGATTTACAATTTCTGGTTTTCAACCTGTGTTTTAAATCATTATTGTCTCAGCCTGTGGTGATGGACATGAAATCTTCCAATGAAGAAAAATTATTTTACGATAAAAATATTTATTAACTTAAAAAGTATTTGTCACAAATTGTACATGTATTCTTTTATTATATGTAACTGTCGAATCTGTAGTTCTGCTGAAATTAGCAGCTCCGAGTAGCTTTTTAACCGTTGCACAGTCAATTAATGTCACTAAGAACATTTGGAGATATTTTGTCCATATAAAATGTGATTACTAGTTGGCAGTGTAACGACAGGTGCTGGGCTTGGGTCGGGCACACAACATATTTCACGGTGTCCGATCACACTAGGTAGTAACGTTTTCCTATTAGTTTGCATTTAATAATTTAGTGACTTTCGATCCGAGCCTAATTAAGTACTTTCTAAAAATGTTTAGTCGTCGATATTGTGACCATGTGATAGTAAGGGGCGTCGCTGTTATAATAACGTATAATCATTTTATTATCTTTTGTGACTTTAATCAATTAAACAAAAATGTATAAAAAAATTAGCTGTAGGAATCAAATTCGGTTACGAAATGAAAAGTATGTGATGCAAAACAAATATTTATGACGTGTATTCAAATCAAAGGTAGCTGTTGGTTAATGAAATTAGTATTCTCAAAATAAACTAATTTCCATGTAAGTATGTTGTATAGAAGAAACCAAATTATGGATTAAAATATTCCTGTATCAATTTAAATTAAATTGTTATGTTTATGTGTCATCTAACCATACGTAAAGTGTATGATGTATAATTAATATGGAAATAAAAATTACAACAACATTCCAAGTATTTAATTTCTAAATAATACATTACATTTTCTTACCCTTTTTATTTTAAAAATATCACAAACTTGTTAACAATTTTCGCTTGAAGCAAAGATGCCAATTCAAACAATATAAATTTGGAGTTCAAATAAATAAGATCATAATTGATTTTTTTAAACAAAAAATAAAGCCAAACGACATAAATATTTAACCAATTTTATTCTTAGCACAATTATGCAAATATACTAATGATTATTCTGAAGACTAGTTTGGTAACTTAACAGAGAGATTCCTGCAAGAGGCTGCCATTGTTAGTCTGAAAAAATAGCAATACAATTTTCGTTTTCATATGCAAAGCTCTTAGGATCGTATTCTAGTACTCTACTCAATGCTCAAGTTAGGATTGCACTGGAAATACGACCCTAACGGCAGGGACTTGAGTATGATTTTGAGTGCTTTAAACCATACTCAAATCCTGACTTGAGCATTGAGTAGAGTTCTAGAATACGACCCAGTGTCTCTGATAAGTTGATAACTTACCAAGAACAAATTATTAGCATGGTGTAATAAGTATGTAACTCCATACAAACTTAGCAACGTGACTTGTAAGTGTGCGCGCCCGTCGCGTGCCGTGTACGAACGCACACATCCGCATAATCTCGTGATGCACTCGCGTTTATACAGCGTTGGTCATCACACGCCCCTTTCATTATTATGCGAATGTGTGCGAGTTACCCTACTTGTCTTAATTTATTAGCGTGCATTATTCCAGCCTCGCTATAATGGACTAATTCACGTTTTTTTAGCGCAATCAGATCTAATCTGGGTTTTGCGATGCTGGAGATTGAGGGATGATACAGCCAAAATAAGGTAATTCATTCGAGCATAAACAGCAGAACAGCCTTGTAACTTTAAAAAGACGCGCGGCGTATCCACTAAAGCTCAATTTACAGTGCGGAATGGAAATGAGTTCTTTGTAATGAAGTAAAATTGTACATAGCATAATTATGTGAACTGTGCTATCTCAAGACATTCATCAACCACCCAGGTTCAAGTTTCGATTAGGTTGTTTTACATCAATGCGTTTTGTTAATGTACCGTGGGAAAAATGGATACTCTTAAAAATATAATTTTCATTTGTAGTACAAATATTATTATTTATTAATGTGTGTTATGCATTGACCTACCAATAAATGGACATCGGGTCTAATACATAAACCACGAAAAAAATGTCCTAAGTTGACCTATATAAACGTAGTGACATGTAACGAAATATAAAAAAACTAAAACATTTAATTTAAATGGTAACGTCATTGCAGTACTGCCTAATTTTGCTTATAACAATTTAAGGGCTCAAAAATACCATATTCAGCTTCTACTGGAAACTTAACACAAAATACACTATATTTAGCTTCGACTGAAAAATACTTGAACATAAGAGTAATGGAGTAGCCTTTCTCGTAAATATTAATTAATTTTTATATATATTATTATGTGGAATTTTGTACAAATTCACTTAAGGATTATAATAAAGAGTTGGGCAGATACATACATACAAATATTACTACAAATGTAAAAATAAGCGTGTACTATAAGAAATGTACCGATATTCCAACTAAATGTAAACTCAAATATCCGTAATTCTGAATACTGATTTGTAATAAAACCGTTACGCTTTCGAGTAATTTTGATGCTTTTCACAAAGCCAAAATTATTAGCTTTTGTTTTGTAATCTTCCTAAAAAAATACATTTGACGTTATGAAAATTCGAGCTAATGTTATTTCGGGCAAATGTATTTTCTGACTTTTGATAGGTAATCCCAGGCCGTAAAACGAGTACAACAATATTATGTTAGTTAATGCTTACGTTTAATAAAAAAAATCACTTTAAAAATAAGATTAAAATCAAAGCGAGTCTATAGTTTCTTTGTTCTAAATATTTCAATCGCTTGTGGTTCGAACAATTGAAAATGACCAAGAAGTTTATATAAGTTTCTTGAAACTGACGTAATGGGTCTCTTTCCATCTTTTGCGCAAGCAATGTGTAGAAAAAGGATAGTTAGATTTGATGATTTGATTATTTTGTGTGCTTTTGTCATTTATATTTACGATTCATTTATACAGGGTGTCCGGTAATGAATGTATCATACTGGAATGGCTTATAGCACAGCTTAAGACTGTTCCAAAAAAAATGCAAAAAAATCTATCCCATGTAGTACCTAAGGAATATTTTTTTTTCTTAAAAGTTAATTATTTTTACCTTATTTTAGGTTTTTGTGCATTATGACTACAAATGAATGAATTTATTTGGATTTTTGGTGTCATAATATTCTACGTTAACTGTGTCCTTAGATAAGCAGTAAATGGTATGACTAAGTAATGTACATTTAAAAAAAAAGTTTAACTTCATTTTTCAGAGAAAAAATTTATTTTTTACGAAGTTTACGCGCCTTCTGTATAAAAAAAAAGTATGAAAACCTGTGTGGCCAAGTACTTTAAAATAATATAGGTTTAATGAGGATTCCAAAATGATATCATTTCTCATTGTATCTAATGTAAATATGACATTATTGCTATTAATGTGCAAACGGAGTAAATTTTACTAAAAAACTATGTTTGCAAAATTGGAACATTTCTTATCCTGAATTGTTCTTGACTATTGAGTTTTGATAAAAAATAATATTAGGCATTAATAAAACTTTATTTAAAACTTATTTACAGCAAAATTATGCAAAAATCCAATCAAAGTAATTTTTCAATTGTTGTCTTTAAAGTACCACGTGTGACCGTTATTTGCCGCCTGCACGATAGACCCATTCCGCCTGTCTTTTGTTCATATGATAAGAATGGTCAGAGTTGGACCAGAGGCAAAGAGTGACAATTAACAGCAAATGTAAAAAAAAACGAAAAGGATTTAGTGCATCATTCGATTTGTTCGGTTTTGCACGTGTTTTCTGTTCCTTTGCGATTTGCTTTCAATCAGTGTTCAACTACGAACTGGCTATTTTACTGGACTATAGTTTTGCTTACTGATTTGGACTTTGTTTGTTTGGTGATATTTGCGACGACTTGGCTTGTTTCTGGGCTGAACAGGTATTTTGTGTCTGTGAATAAAAATGCCACGTACTCAGTATATGCCACTAGAATATGCAAACATGCATATTATTTATGGGGAATGCGGTACCAGCTCAAGAGCAGCTGAAGCTCTTTACAGAGAAAGATACCCTAACGCACGTCACCCATCTAATGCCGTATTTATAAGAGTCCGCCAATGTTACTCAGAAGGAAGAATACCTGGTAGTGGTGGAGCACCTCGTGATGAATATGGAGAGATGGTTCTTGAAGGAATTCGGCAAGATCCTTCCACGTCGACGAGAGCAATAGAACGACACACGGGAATTGGAAAATCGACTGTGCACGATATTTTAAAGAAACATAAATTTTATCCATACGATGTCACACGCGTGTAAACTCTCCTACCCAGAGATTACAATTTAAGATTGCGTTTTTGCCGATAAATGCTGGCCAAGATAGAGGAAGACCCCCAGTTTTTTAACAAAATCTATGGAGCGATGAATCAACACTTAAAAGAGACGGCTACTTAAATTTACACAACCTTCATAGCTGGCAACTACAAAACCCCCATCTTATGCGGGAAGACCGATCACAGCACCAATTTAAAATAAATTATTGGACGGGAATATTAAATGGAAAAATAATAGGACCATTTGAACTACCGGAGACTCTTACTGGCCAAAGTTATTTGGAGTTCCTACAAAATGGGGCTGCCTTAAAGAAGAAGTGTACAGCAAACCGATCCGATCCTTGGAAGACTTACGTAGACGCGTCCGTGCGGCCGCATTAAAAATTTGTGAACGACGCTATACACGGCTGCTTAATAGAGCTTTTATTCGTCGATGTAGAGCCTGCATCAGAGCCGGTGGCAAACAATTAGAACATTTACTGTAAATATTAGAAATAAAGTTTTATTTATGTTTAATAATGTTTTTTTATTAAACTCCATTGGTCGGGTACAATTCAGGACAAGAAACGGTCCAATTTTGCAAACACAGTTATTTAGTAAAATTTACTCCTTTTGTAAATTAATAGCAATAATTTCATATTTACATTAGATACAATGAGAAATGATACTATTTTGAAATCCTCATTAAACCTACTTTATTTTAGAGTACTTGGCCACACAGGTTTTCATACTTTTTTTTTATACAGAAGGCGCGTAAACTTCGTAAAAAATAAATTGTTTCTCTGAAAAATGAAGTTAAACTTTTTTTTAAATGTACTTTACTTAGTCGTACCATTTACTGCTTATCTAAGGGCACAGGTAACGTAGAATATTATGACACCAAAAAACCAAATAAATTCATTCATTTGTAGTCATAGTGCACAAAAACCTAAAATAAGGTAAAAATAATTAACTTTTAAGAAAAAAAAACATTCCTTAGGTACTACATGGGATAGATTTTTTTTGCATTTTTTTTGGAACATCTTAAGCTGTGCTATAAGCCATTTCAGTATGATACATTCATTACCGGACACCCTGTATATAAATTAAATTCTATAAAACTGTACAAAATAACACTTTTAAATGATAACTATGATAATACAATATATATAGAGATCTTCTTAAACAGATTTATGTTTCTCTTGTAGAGTCTATTATTACATACTGTATTCCGGTCTGGGGTGGTGCAGCTAAGTCAAAATTTATTGAAATAGAACGAGCTCAACGTGGTTTGATCAAAATGATGTATTTTAAAAAAAGAATTTACTCCATAGAAAAATTGTATAAGCTGACAAAGCCGACTTCTGTTAGAAAACTGTACATAAAAATTTACTATATAAACCTAGGGTTACAGGTAGAAGAACATATCATAAAATTGCATTAGTACCAAAAATAAAAACTACTGCGGCTGGTAGACAGTACAAATACAGGGCCTCATATCTGTATAACACTCTTAACAAAGAACTTGATATATACAACAAAATAGTTTATGACTGCAAATTAGCCATTACAAAATGGCTCGAAACTAAGTCATATGAGGAGTTTGAGTAATTACTACTAGTTTGAAATAAATAAATAAGTAAACATAAAAGCGAGGTATTAGTTGATATAATATTGTAATTAAATGAAATCAAAATTGAACAGAAATATATGCGCTCACACACACACACACACATACACTCATTTACACACATACGCACACACACATACACAAACACTCATTTACACACACTTCATGTACACGGACATGCACTCACACAAAGTAACACAGGTTAATTTAGTCTTAGTTTATTAAGGTTAATGTGTTAGTCAATTATAGATAGTTATAACACCAGCTTAAGAGCAATGTTTAATTATTAATTGTAAAGAAGAGCGATGTTTCCTAACACAGGCCCTATCAAGCTTAAAAGGAAACATCAGCCCCTGAATTATGCCATGTACAGTGAAGTAATAAAATATTTTTATTTTTTTATTATTTTTTATTATCATACAATATATTAGTTTAGTGAAAATATGATACAAAATCCTGTTTTTACACTTCACTGCCGTAATTTTTACAAGTTATTATTATTGGTACTGCATGATTGACATCCGCGCTGTCAGTCGAACAAACGAAGACTGTTGCGCGATTGACGCTCTGTATGCGATTTTAACGCCCTGCAGGTGCAGACACTTTTTAGTGCAAACCCGACGTCCATTTATTGGTAGGTCAATGGTGTTATGTAATTTTTTTGAAGTTGTTAAAGTAGAAGTTGTGTAGTTCCAATTAATATAAATAATGATATATTTATATTATGTAAGTTTGAATTAATTGGAATATTTCTGTCTTATTCGTTCAACTGATTAAACTTGTAATTGATCTTAGTGGAACAGGTGCGCGAGAATTCTCCAGAAGACCGAGACCTGTTTTTTGGGTCGTATCTAGTTTGTACATTACACAATTGACAAAGTTCATTATGCTATGGTTACTGCCGTTTGTATTTATTGTTCCCATTAGTTCCGCGGTAATGTAAATTAAGCTTAAAACTATATATTTTGTGACTAGAGTCAACTAAATCACGACTTTCTGTCAAGTTTCAGAAACTGGTGATGCTGGAATAAGGTACGCAAATTATTATCGCTATGTTACTACTAACAACATATATTAAAAAGCTTGCTGATTATGTAAACGGGGTCACATTAACAACACGACTTTACGATAAAAACACTTTCTCAAGTGCGTCTGGCGACATACAAGGTTATTCTTTTATTAATCCGAGTCCTCTAATTACCATAAAAAGCGATCAACAAAAAAAGTTTCAAAAGCAAGCAAGCCAGCAAACCGTAAATAGTTGTTTGTTTTACATGTACGATGTTACGGGTTAATTATTATTAATTCAAAACAATCCTTAGTAGCTTTATGATTAATTTAACGATTTTTAACCGTAAATTTTATGCCAATCTTATAGGCAAAGCTATAATGAGATTACCTTGAAACACTACCTAGTTTTTTTCTGTTTTTATAATTATAAACTATCACATAATCAGACTACACGATCTTTCACACCGAGTCTATATGGTAAACACGATGATTTATATACATAAGATTATCGAGATTATGTACGCCATTCAGAACAGCTGCCTTTTTACAACTTTTATGACATAGTTTAAAATTAACACGAAATTCAAATCTTATTACATTAAAACTTCAAAATGTAGTTAACCTAAAATAACAATATCGTCGGGGATAGTGCAAATCCGCGTATGTAGCATTGGTAAAAAGCGTGTATTTGCACCAAACCAAATTTCACAGGGGAGGGATTTAACGTTATTACTTTGTTATTTCAATGACTACGACTTCCATTTTTGCACAGACAGTAAGCATTAATGCTTCTACGTTGTCTACGGACTGATAACAATAGATTCACGTTAATCACGCTAATTTGGTTGCCACGACATTCACGCGGATTCGATTTGGCGACTAAATTACCGAAATGGAGACTCATCATCAAATGCTGGTTACGTGTAATTGCACTATCCCCGATGATATGTTGACGTGCGAGAAATAACACATTCTGAGATTATAGATTATTTCTGTAAATTTTTTTATCTGAGCCACTGATTATATTTAGCGACGATTCGTAGTCAAATGATCACCATTATTAATATATTACCCGACAGGACAGGTTTTAATGTAGATTTTTCTTACAACCACACACTAAAGTATACAAATTGTTGTTATCGATTACTATGAAAGCGACACAAGGCCTTTATTTTAATGGTTATAGCCAAACATTTGAGCACAATTGCACCTATGTCACTATGAAGTCGTGAATGACGCTTGCCTTGAAAGTGCCGCCTATTCATGACATGTCTTTTTTTAAATAATGGTAGTTATACTGTGGCGGTCTACTATACGTTACTTTTGAGCTCTATTTGCTCGAAGCGGCTACAGGTGCAGGCAGCGTTTCGTCCAGTAAGCTTTCGAGTTGTTTGACGTCTGTGACTGGCAGGGAACACGCATATCGCCGGCACACGTATGCTGTTGGTACGTCTCCTGCCCTGATTCGGCTTAGAACTGAAAAAAGGAAGGAAAACAAAAGAAATATAATTATGTCTCCGTAATAGGTATCACAGCATTATTTTGTTAAGTGCTCTCTATTTAACCTAGTGTACTAAATACACACACATTAACAACGCGTAAGGATATTCAACATTTTCTTGAATATAATAAATAAATATAATTGAATATAATAAATTAAAATAAAAAATTTCGCAATTAGTTTTTTTATTATAATACTAAGTGACGGGACGAACAAGTCGAGCGCCTGGTGGTAAGCGACAACGCCTGTCCATAACAGTTCCAGTGCCACTCCGAAACTAAATCACAAAGAACTGAGGGGACTGCTACTGCGCCCGACACCCTGAGACATAAGTTGACAAGTCCCATGTGCCTGTAATTTCACAAACCCCCTAGCATTCAAAACAGGTACGCAGAAATACAGCATTACTGCTGCTTGGCGGCTTTAATAGGTAAGGTGGCAGTTAGTTTTTTTCCCTGCACGAACAATTTCACAAGGAGCTCTACTGCTACTAAAAATTATTAAGCCATAGACATGCTTGTATTGTGTCTTGTTGGTTACAATGAATGACATTTACATGCACAGGACGTAGCTGACCTTTACATGACATAAGGGGTCAGTGAACCATTTGAAATTCATTACAATAATTAATAAATCAAAACCTATACGTGCGGCCATTAACGATTAGTTAAGGAACTACTGGCAGGCTGGTGTGTCATCTACATGATATTGTGACACAGTAAAGTGAACTCACGTATGTCGGACATACCCGCGGGTGTTTCAGCGGATGGGTCGGCTACTGCTAAGACACGACCGGGCAGTAATCGTGAACGCACCACGCGAATCAGTTCCAAAGTACGCGGATCGGAGCGACCGCCCGCTATCAGAACCTGGAAAAAAACAAAGAGATAAATATTTAGAATCTATTATAATGTTTTTTTTTGGGTATTTTTCTGAGTTTTCAGAGAAATTCCCATAGTGAATATTGTTTTTGTCTCGCAGTTTTCGAAGTCATCCTGTATGCTTTCGAGTAGCCCTCTTTGTTCCAGGTCTACGCTAAACTATGCTATTTGCACATGCATTTTTTAACAATGGCGGCCTGCTCACTTTATTCACATTTGTGTCCTTCGTGTACATTATATATAATAATACCCACGTATTATAAGCACACTAAGTTTCCGGAATGAATAAAAAAAATACTATAAATTATCAGAATTGAATTTATTAATTAAATTTCTATTGAATTGATATTCAATTATTTTTTTGTGA